TCATATCTTGACCAAGCAAATCAATATATAATCAAAAAGTTCAAGATCTCTATTCCTAATATATCATATACAGATTTCATAGCCACAAATTCTAATACTCAACAACAACAACTACAATAACACAAAAACAACAAGTACAACAACAACAACAACAACAATCAATCAGTTCTACTACAAAATCTAAAACTGTTAAAATTAACAAACAACAACAACATTGTCCTAATAAATCTACTCCGAAATTTAAAATCCCTAACATCATTGATGAAAGCCTCTTTCTAATTTAAAACTCACTTTATACTTTATGTTTTAACACTTTAACTATATATTCCTATATATTCTATTATATTTCATACACTTTATAACTTTATAAACTAAACATAGCCTAGTATTTCTCATTATACTCTATAACTTTATATTATTAAATACACAAATCTTATAATTTACTCTTACTTTTAAATTCATTCAATTAAGTACTCTATTTACTCTACATTTATTTTTTTCTAAAAAAATCTAGGTGAGTTTTTGACCACTCTAGTAGGTTTAGATCACAGATAAAGTAGTTCAAGTTTTTATTCTTGCATATAGTTTTTATATTTTATATTTTATATATTAAGGTTAGCAACTCCTTGTAGTTACTATAATAAAAACTATTAATAAAGATATAAGCAAGGCCTCACCTTATACCAAAAAAAATATATATATATTTAAGAGAAAATGTTTTTTGTGCACCTGCATAATCATGCACCCTATATAATTAGCCAATAAAATTTAATCATGTATTTTGATAATCATTCTTTGTCGATTTTGTTTTGTTGTTTTTGTTTTGCTTTTGTCGCTTTTGCTGCTTTTGCTTTTGCTGTTTTCTTGCTGTTTTTCTTTGCTATTTTTGCTTTGCTGCTTTGTTTTGTTGTTTTTGTGTTGCTGCTTTCACTTTGTTGCTTTTGCATTACTGTTTTAGCTTTGTTCTCTTCGCTTTGCTGCTTTTGCCTTGCTGCTTTTGCATATTATTCTTTTCATTTCCTTCTTTTTTTTCACCTTTTTTTGCTCCTTTTTGATTTCTTCATTTTTTTCACACTTTTTTTGCTCCTTTTCGCTTCTTTCTCTTTACTTACTTTTTTTCATTTCTTTTTTTCTGGTTCTTTTTTTCATTTCTTTGTTGCTTTTGGACACTATTCTTTTCATTTTCTTCTTTTTTTTTTACCTGTTTTTTGCTCCTTTTTGCTCCTTTCTTTTTACTTACTTTTTTTTTGTTTCTTTTTTTCCATTTCTTTTTTTCCAGTTCTTTTCTCTGGTTCTTTTTTTCGCTTCTTTGTCACTTTTGGACATTATTCTTTTCGCTTCTTTCTTTTTTTTCACACTTTTTTTACTCCTTTTTGCTTCCTTCTTTCCTCTTTACTCACTTTTTTTTCGTTTCTTTTTTTTTGGTTCTTTTTTTTGGCTTCTTTGTTGCTTTTGGACATTATTCTTTTCACTTCCTTTTTTTTCACCCTTTTTTT